TCCCCCACCCGCACCCTCGAGTGGGGAAGGGGAAGCCCTCCCCATCCCAGACACTACCATCCCAAACTAGTGAGGGTTCTAGGACACAAAGAGCGGGGCGTCCTTCCCTAGGTGGGGCGAGAAGTCAACTGGGGAGAGGGAGCCGTGTTGGGGGTCCAGGGTCAGGGAGGAGCGTGGCAGAGTCACTGGTGTAACTGAGCAAGTCTCTTGCCAAAGGGAAGGGGTAGGGGCTCCCCAGCCTCATGGACAGGAGGGAAGAGCCCTACCTGATTGCCTGCTGGGGCTGGTACAAGGCAAGTACTTAAAAATGCTTATTCCTCACATGCAAAATCCAGGCGCCCCAATCTTCTGTGGGTAGAAGGCCTGAGGCCAGGACCCAGTGGACCACCCTTTTCTGAACACTCAGATGGAGATGAAAGTGTCACAAGGCAGAGGCCTGGGGTCACCCAATTCCTTGTGCCCTTCTTGCCTCTGCACTCTTAGGGAGCTGTTCTTCCTGGCTCCCCAGGATTGCATCTGCACTGCACCCCATCGAGTGGGAAGTCCTTCAAATCTAGCTCCTGAGAATCTGCAGACCTGCAAAGCACTCTACAGACTTAAAGGTGCATAGTCATGGAGATTGCTACCCCCACTGCTGCCATGGAGGTCAAAAGCTACAGGGAGGCCGGATGGGACCAGGAGTGGGGGACAGAGCCCCAGAAGCTGAGATGGACGTGTTTGTGGGATGGCTTACCAGGCTGCGAAACTGATCTGCAGTCAAGCAAGCCGAGGTCACACTTCAAGAAGGACTTTCATGGTTAGGCCTGGGAGACGCTGGCTCGGGAGAGGGAGAAGAGGACCCCACCAGGCTGCGGGTCCCGAGGACCAGCACCCTTTCAAAGATCCTGGGAACCGAGAGCCCCACCCACTCTCCGAAGTTCACAGCCCAAGGATTCGCAGAATTGACCCCAGCAGACCGGAAGCTCTCCAAATCTGAACTCAAACCTGCTCCAACCCTGAACCCTGGGTGGATTCAGCCACTTCCCTCTATTCTTTTCGATACTTTTATACATTCTACTGGACCCGGGGGTCCTCAATGCTACTAAACTTCAAGCTATCTGAATATCATCTACTAAGTAACTAGTAATTCTTTCTTTCTTTCTCTAGGATTATATGAAATAAATTTGAATTATTATTTTGTAGTATTCTTTTAAACCCCTCGGTTTTTTTTTTTGTTTTTTTTTTGGTTAAAAAAATCTATTTCTCTTAAATCTCACATCTCTGAGGATTCCCATGGCCCTGCTGGGCCTCTATTCTGGACCCCCCCTCCTTCCCTGACCCTGGGACGGGGCAGGGAAGGCGGGGGACACCCCAGGATCCTCGGTCCTCAGTCCCTCAGCTTCTTCCTTTCCGGTTAATCCCTTTCTTTGTTTGGCTCTGCCAGCTCCCCTGAGGGGAGGGGAGAGGGGAGGGGAGCCCACAGAATGAAATCCAATCTACTTGTGGGGCCCCAGAAGGGACCAGGTTCCCCAGCCCCTCTCCACCATCCATCCCAGGATGCTCCCCCAAGAAAAGCAAACGACATTCCTCCCCAAAAAAAAGTGGGGGAAAAAAGGAACGTAAACCCGAACATATATTAAAAACACTTTTTTTTAAGATTTAACTCTGAATACAAATGTATTTTTTTTCTTCTTCTCTCCCTACATATATTCTAAACCTTCTAAAGTTTTTTTATTTTTTTAAGGATCACTTTATCATAAAATAAAATATCCTTTTCATATAATAAATTACCTAATAAAAAGTCTTTTTTTTTTCATATTAGCCCAGGTTCTTTGCTACATTTATACGGTAATAAACGCCTTTATTAAAATAGAATATTAAATTATAAAGAACTGCTTTTTTTTTCTTTTTTGCTATTTTTGTTTCCTCTCCTCTGTTGGTCACTCAGCTCCCTCTCTCCTGTTTTTGTCAGTATGTGTTCTGCCTTTGTTTCTAGGTCTGGCTCGTTCCGTCCTGGTGGGACTGAACTTGCTGAGCCCCTGTGTAACAGTCTTCGCCTGTGGGTAAGGGGTGGAGGGGAGGGGACGGACAGACGTCCTTTCTTCCCAGCCCCCCACCGCCCCGCGACCCGGGTGCCCATTTGGTTTGGTTTCTATTGTACAGACATCTCAGGATGGCTCACGGTGGTGGGAGGAGGAAAGGTGACACAGGCCAGACTTCTGGGCTGTGACCTCCTTCCTCTTCCTCCCAGGCTGGTGGCCTGGAGGGGAAGGCTTGGAGAGGTGAGTTCATTCACAACTGGAGGAAGAGGAAGGAGGACTCCCCTCTGCACCTTCTCCCCCAGGAAGAATGGGACTGGTGAGCGAAGTGCTGGCAATCACTTAGAACCATCCCACCCAATATATACAAGGGTCTCCTGGTCCGGGGGCTCCGGCCTCCTACCTCTCCTGGCCCGGCCTGCGGAACCGGGAGGGGGAGGGAGGTGGCAATCCCACAAGCAGGAGGGGGACAGCACAGGGGACTCCCAGCCTGCCACAATACTTGATTTCTGGGACAGGCTCTGGGCTCCCAAAACTGCTTTCCCCTGGCCGACCCCTCTCTGAAGATCTGGCCCCTCTCCTCAGCCTCCAAGGGTGAGGGTGAGGGTGAGGCTGAGACTTCACGGTGTGCAGGCCAATAAAGAAAGGCTGTCAGGCTCAGCGCAGCCTGGCCCGGCACCACAGGAGGGGAGCCCTTCACTGCTGGTCCCTCCTGCCCCAGGCCCTTTCCTGCTCCTGGTTCTTCCCTCCCACCAACCAGAAAATCAAGCCCAAGAGTCGCTCTCTAAATATAATGCCCTTAGATGATGAAAGTGGGGATTTGACACTTTATGTACCCCAGTATCAGTTCCCCCTCAAATTGTCACTGAGAATAGGGTTACATTCCATCAAGAACTGGAGCCATTTCTTTGGAGGAATAGGGGAGAGGGGCTTCCAATGCCTGGAGAGGAACTGGAGGGACCGTTCAAATGCTTTCCCCTCCTTTTCCCCAAGGGGATGGCATCACCAAAGCTGGGCTGGAGGGGGGTGGGCAAAGAGAAGGAGAGGGCCCAAAAGGCCACCCAGGGAGGCAAAGCGCCAGCAGAAAAGGAAAAAGTAAAGAAGGGAAAACTCAAAGTAAGGAAAGATGGGGAGAAGACAACTAAGGGGAAAGTTGAGGGGCCAGAAGGAGCAGCCCTCTCCAGATCCCTCTAGCCCAGCTTTGCGGGACGGACAATTCTGAGCCCTTTGTTGAATGACACAGCTCTCCTCACCCCACCCTCCACAATACCTGCGCCGACTTCTAGCAAGACCCCAACTCCCATACTACTGGAGACTGCAAGTTTCCCCCGAAAAGGTAAGGGGGTAGAACACCCTCAAGCGCCAGGTTAGGAGGTCGGAGGTCAGGACCAGAAGGCCAGGGACTGCTGAGGGCCTCCACATACAGATGGTAATTCCCCCTCTCCCCACCACCCCCAAAAGGAAGGGGTGAAGTAACACACAGCTGGGGAGGCAGGCAGAGGACGCCTTAGCGCCACCTCTGGCAAAAGGAAAGTTTCTTAGCTGCTTCCAGATTGAAAGTGTGTTGAGGTATCAGAGTTGTAACTCTAGTAAAATTCAGTCCGGCCCCTTCCAGTCTTTCCGGACAGGTGACCAGAGGCTCTGAAAGTGGTCCCCCCTCCAGCCACACCGCGTACCCCTCCCTTCCTCCCCCGCGAGCAAATATCTCCAAGCACCGCCTTGCCCCTCAGATCGCTGATTTCCAAGCCCCCAAGGGAAAACGGGTCCAGGCTGACCCCGGGGGAGTGGGCTCTGGAGACGGGGCGGGGGCTTAGGAGAATATTCGGATGGCTTGCGTGGCTGTGATGTGGCAGACAGGACACTCCGGGTCCGTCCTCTCGCAGATGCGCACTGCGCACTCCATGCAGAACAGGTTGTGCCCACAGGGCACGAGG